GGGAAAGGTTTTCGTTTTCCTCATGAGCTCTGTAACAACAATCAGTTGCAGTTTTTAGATATTAACATCGCCATCACCGAGCGACGTGTGTGTTGGGTGTATCGACCTCGCGCACGCAAAGAGTTACTTCCTTTTGGTGAACTCATTCGAAAAAGGTTAGGAGAGCTAGTGCGACTTCGTGCCTGGAGTCTTCAGTGCTGAAGTCCTGTGACCACCAGGCGGATGCTAGTTTTAAGTACCAGATTTCTAGACTGAAATTGGCTGGCTTCCCGTGTTCGGTCTTGGTTTCTGCCGCGGAAACTGCCCTATAAAAAATGAGGGGGTTTAAAAGAAAGATCCCAACGAGGCAAAAAACAAAAAGACCAGAAGTTATTCCGCGTCGTCCATAACCTTGCCCACAATCTAAAGAAAGTGGTAAACAACAAAACAAGTACGATGCGCTCATTGTCTTTTCTGTCCCAAAAACGAAGTTGGCTGGATTGTGCTCCCGGATTTCTGATGAAAAGCAAAAAGGCCATGTGATGAAAACGCGTCACTCCTTACGTGAACTGTACAGTGGGCGTGGTCTACGAGATCCCACTGGGTTGGGGTAAAGTCTACATCGGCCAGACGGGGCGGTGCGTCAATAACCGAGCACGGGAGCGGGCACTATCAGTAAAAATTAAATACGGCTCGCATTTACCTACATTGCAACACGTGCGGCTGTGTTCCACGACTTCAGCAGATAAGGATTCTGAGGAGAAGCCGTGAGACTGTCGCTCGTGAACTTTTGAAGGCGTTCATAATAATCATCGTCGTCGTCGTCTTAATAATAATAATAATAATAATAATAATAATAATAATAATAAAAGTGGGACGCCATGTGTCAGCGACACGTCAATTGTGCTCCATGGGAATTAATTTCAGTTGTTGAATGATGGGATACTAAAATGGTAACTTTTACGTGTTGCCGCTTCGCGTGTGGCGTGTTTATATACGGTTCGCTCTTCCTGAGTAAAACTGGTTGAAAATTATCACTTGTTTTGTTTACTTGTCCCGTTTTTTGTTTTTTTTTTTTCTTTTTAGCTATTTTATATGTTTAACTAAGAGTTTTGGGACTTTTCTCACGCGTTCTTTAAATTTCAGGAACCCTTTTAGCTTAAATAATATTTTCAACTTTTTAGTATGGTCACGACTTGATATAGCGTTCGTGATGAGAATTTTTTATCAAAAACATAAGCCATGAATATCAAACGAGTTCAGAAAAAAAGTATTCGTATGGCTTACGACATTCACTTAGAATGCCATATTTTTTTTTTAACTATCAAAATCTGCAAGGAAAATATCTTTCACTTTTGTCAAGAAAAAGCAGGGAGGCGCGTGACTTTGTTCTTCTACATAAGGTTGCAAATACCGATATTGACTCAGCTCATATCTCTGTAAAGTTAATTTTTACGTCTACTTCAAAACTACACGGCATTTTTTTTTTTCTTTTTCTTTTTTTTTTTTTTTTTTTTTTTGCTTGCTTTGAAACATTTTATTCCTTTCTCGGATTCAGAATCTTTACAACAGTGTCGCCACTTAGTATCTAGACATCCGAGGATCAGCCTGGAGTTCAGCCGCCTGTACATTAATTCGATATTTAGTACCTAATTTGTGTTTTTATTTGCGTCTTGCACTATATTTGTATCAGCGCGTCTACAATGTAATCCAGTATTTATTTCTCTCTTTTTGGGTGTTTTTATGGAAGTGCTCCAATCAAAACACCATTTTAGCAAGTCTTGTTATTGGGCTAGTTGGTTCATGGTAGGGAGTAAACTTGTGTACACAAACACAGATAACGAACACGAAAGAGTGGACAAGGGCAAGAACAGTTGGAAGCTCCCCTTGTCCTTGCACACTTCTCTTTGTTCGTCCCCTGTGCTTGCTCATACAGGTTGACTATATACTAAAGACAACTGTATTTGTTTCGTGGCAATTTGAAGAAAGACCATCATCATCATTATTATTATTATCATCATCGTCGTAGTCATCGTCATCATCACCGGCATCACTATTATTATTATTATTATTATTAGTTAATACAGTCTTTCGTACATAACACAAATTCCCTCCGGACTACTAACAACATCAGGAAAACATCGTCGGTACAGTTATTCTTAGGATAGCCTTTAGTTTCACAACCCTTTAAACTTTTTGCAGTGGGTTTGGTGCTGGTATGTAGCGAAATCATAATATTTTAGTGGTGCGCACAATAAAAAGGATGAGATAGGACATGTTTTCATTATATTATACCCACAAGTGATGATTTGTTAATGCGAATTTTCGCAACTGTGAGACGACCCACGGCATCGATCATTGGACCCGATCTTGAGCGTGAACCTCCGAGCGCTGTTCCGAACTGCGAGGCAGCGCTCGTGTCCAACTGCTAGGTGACTTTGCCTTCCCAAAGTTGCCCTTTTTGGCCACCAGCCGCGCTGACTAGCAGCCGACTGAAGCGCCTCCTGTTCACTGTCCTGGAGCTAAGAGTGTTTTTGTTTTTATTTTTAGAAATTAGATTTGTTTTTAAAAATCCGGAAGGATACACTAACGTGGTGCGTGCGAGGGTGTTGGACGGCCAGAGATATAAAATAGTGGGCTGATCGCCACGATAAGTCGCATGATTAAATAAACGTTTTAGCTATTTTTTTATTGAATGTAAACATAGGGTTCTAATTAGAAACTTGCTTGGCACCGTTCAGAAACTCAGCACTACGTTAAATGTACCGCTGGTTCAACAGACACAACGCTAGCAGGGAAAAAGGCAAACGCTCGCTCGGGCGCGTCACCGCTTTGGCAGCAGTGGTTTATTAAGAAGTTAAGAGAAACATGTCTTTGTTAATTAGTCGACTGATCGCGACGATAAGTAGGCGAGAAACTTGGTATCAAATTCGTACCTTCCGGAATTAAAAGAGCTCCCCGTTTAGAAGCATTCCATCCGCAGAAAAGTCATCCCATCATTGTCAAGTTTTCATCGTTCGAAGAAAAAGAGGGCATTCTTGGTTCTGCGCACAAGCTTAAGGGCTCACGCGTTGTAATTAGCGAAGATTTTCCACTTTCCGCAAGGCTTGCACGCCGTCGTCTTTTGATTTTGCCAGACCAAAGGGAACGCCTTTTCAGCTACGTCACGATAAACTGTTTATAGATGGCAAGTGTTTTGTATTCAATGACGCTATTGGCTCGGCTACTGAAAGATGCACGTAGCAATGCCGGTGTTTTTCCCGTTGGCCCACACACAATCAAACTGCGAATCCCCATATTATCAATTCAATATCTTCTATTAATTAAATTTTCTTTATTAACATTAGAAGCCTTATCCCAAAGAGGGATTATGTGAATTCCTTGATTCAAACATGTAACGCCGACTTCGTTGTTCTTACTGAAACATGGCTGAATCCCGACATATGAGATGCTGAATTGTTCCCTTCTTTTCCAAACTTTCGTGTGTACAGGTGCAACAGAATTACTAAAAACGTGTGCCAGACTGATCTAGAATTCCAGGTTTTTTGTATTGACGTCCCGAATACCAGGCTTGTACGCATAGAGATTTCAGGTCTGAAGGATGAATGAAGAACTGGGCATCAAGGAACCTACTGCGGTAATACAAATTAAAAACGTAAAAAACAGCCAAAATATTCGTTTAGCTTGTTTCATAAGAGAGATGTTGGTATATACCGTTCCCTGGACACGAAGAAAGCGTCACCCGACTAATTTTAATTAGAAAAGAGTCAAAGTACAGGCTAGCTGGTGGAAGTCAACCATTTCGTCGTTTACCCTGAGACTGGGTTTTTTTTTAGAAGAGCAGAAGTAACAGAATTCTGTTACTTCTGCTCTTCTAAAAAAAAAAACCCAGTCTCAGAGTAAACGACGAAATAGTTAATTTTAATTGTTTCCCCAAGAAACGTTTCGCAACGCGTCGGAATGTATCACAACATTTTAATATTAAATTACAAAAATCAAGTAATATATTAATAGTGAAATGACACTCCACGCTTATAGCGTCACCCCAATTATAATATCACGTATTATTCTTTCTTTCTTGTGTGCAGGAGCAGTCGAAGCCGAAGTGCCGGTACACACACATACTATCTTAAAACATACTAAAGCAACAAAATAACACAAGCACAAAACAAAACTACTGGCATTAATTAAACTGAGTGTTTTGAACATCTTTAAATGAGCTTTTACTATCGAAGATATCGACCTCCGCGCTAAGTGTATTAACACTAATTTTAATACGCAAAAGGAGGAAAGTGAACACGGGTATTGCACAAAGAACGTCGTGGGGTTGCGATTGCTCACAGGTGTAATGCCACTTATTGTACTTGTTAAACTTATTTAGCATTTTCTATTTTCTTGATCCCTGCGTGTATACACTATAAGCATTACGCACATTTACATGACTTTTTTAACGGGATCATAAAAACTATACATTCACTTTTCGGAAAGACGAGGAGCTTAAAGACAAGTCACTTCGAAAAACAAAAAGCGATCTTTTTGTTTTTTGTTTTGTACGTTGTTTTCCAGATTTTATTGTGTAACTGATCAGTCCTTCTGCTCCAGTTTCTAGTATTGCTTTATTTTGAAGATGTGTAGTTTAAGATATAAGCTTCAATACTCTCGTTAAATGGTTCTACAAATGTAGAATGCTGGTTGGTTTTTCCTCATCTTCAGTATTTATTATCAAATCCCTTTGATAGATCCAATTCCTTATCGATTGTAGTTTTCAAACTAAGACATAGTTGTGGCGCACTACATATTAAAAATTCAAACGCGCTATGTCCAAACCGTGCTCCGCGTCCGGGGTCTGGGCATGTCTTTCCACAAATCTAGTTTCCTGAACTTTTATAGCTGCGGTCGTAGAAATCAAGATTTCAAGCCGTTGTAGTTCGAGCGGCAGTACGTTAAACCAGTGCCAAGAACCCTTCTTAATTAGTTTATTTCACCTCTAATATGTCAACATATCTCAAATTACCGCTTACCTGATTTGCCGTTTGTTGAACTTTTGAAGCCTCCATGCGACCCTGATTAGTGTGCTTACACAGGTGTTCCTAAAAAATTCGAGATTTCAAATGCATGCGTTGCCAACAGTGTTATTGAGATGCTAGATTATATTGCGAGGTCATTGTCGTGGTTCATGATTATACTCAGCTTTGTATGAAGACTGACCGAAGGGCGGGTGAGTAATTAAGGGGACACCATGCTGTACCACTGCTCTTTTCATATTTTTTGTTAGAAAACTTTAATAGCTGTTTGGTATGTTTCGGATTCGGCCATACGGTTCATTAATCTCGTTTAAAATGCATTGTAACGTTATAAACAAGGCACATGAATGATCCAGCTGATCTACAGCAACTGCTCACGCCAATGTATCGTTTGAGTATATGTAGCCGAATATTGCAAAAATGCACAAAGTCTATGTGATGAAACGTGACTGTACTTCACAACGAGAGCTGTCCCTGGTCCCTAACCTTGGAAACTAGCTTGTGGCATCCAGCAAGGGGCGAGGAGGGAGTTTGCACTAGGAGAAACGCATCCTTTTATATGTAAGCGAGGATCATTGCGTTGTATCGCTTTGATAAGTACCACAAACCAACTTTCCAAACGCAATTGACACCTTATATTGGCAAACAATTTTTAAGGAACTTATTGCTTTGTTTTTGTTCACAGTGTAACAGTTTAGAAAGTGGCAACTCTATATCCAGCCACCTGCGAGAAGTTCGCAAGAGTAGAATAACTCATAAAATTTGAGCATTTTGTTGTTGTTGTTTTCAAATGTGGCGTAATCTTTAAGTATTGGACAATACTGACGCCAACCGCCAATCGGGCACCTGAGTTCCTTTAGATCTTTTCTTTTTTTTTTTTTTTTTTATTGACGCGCCATAGATTTACAACGGACCGTTTTTGGTATTTTCCTACCTCAAGCAGTCCAAGGAGAACTTCCTTATCGCACACGTCACATTGCACAACCAGAAGTATACCATCAAGGTTGTAATCTGAGCGGAGAGCGACAAGCTGAAAATAATTTTATTGGTTCATTAATACTATTAGTCTCAACCCAGGACTTTCTCAGCAGTGAAAAGAGCCAGGGAGAAACGTCTACTATTTTAATTATTGCCGCAAATCAAAATGCCCACTTATATATCGATTAAAATGCCCGTTAACCAAATTATACCTTCAATATGACACACCTGCCAAATAGATCACACTTAAAGGGAAACTCCGGCCAAAACTCAAAATTAAATAAATTACTGGTATCGCTGTAGTGACACAAAATACGACCCCAGCCAAAATATTACGCCCGTGGGACGCCGCATTCTCAACTAACGCCGATAATAAAAATGCGCCCCGCCGCGAGCCGCTGCTCCTTAGCGGGCAGTCAGCGGGTTGCCGATCGCTAAAGCAACATTGGGCCGTGATGTCAGTATCGTTCTCTTTTTTTTTTCCTCCGGTCCGGGCGTTGCACGGAGTGCGCTTCTTTGAGCCGCTACCACCGCTACTTCGGGTTGTGATTGGCGTGTTTAGCCGTTGCTTTTATGCGTAGCCCGTGTAGCTTCGGTATAGCCTTTTGTTTATTTGCTTGTGAGGACTTCAAGACTCGTTTTAGCGAGCAACTCCCCGATACTGCCTATAGCTGTTCCTCGAAAGATGCCGAGTGCAACTTGTAGCGCTGTGGGCTGCTCAAACAACCCGCTGCGCAACCAGGAGGTGCTTTTTCACAAGCTTTCAACGGACCGGAAATTGAAGAAGGTGTGGGTGAACGCTATTCGACGAGTGGAGTGTGGACTTCCGCTTTTAGGCGTCCGAGGTAAAAAGAACGAAAAAACAGACGTGTACAGCACAGCACACGTGTGTTCGGGCGCCGCGGCCCGCGCTGGAGAGCCTCAAAGCTTCGTGTCTGGGACTGACCCGAAGCACGAAAGCGAGAGGGCCCCCAGTACTGTACGTCACTGGCAGCGCGGCGTAGAGCAACGCCGCTCCATCCACGGAGCCCCGATGACAATTTAGGCCTAGCGACGAGTACGGAAGACCGCACACACGGCGACAGCCGCCGAGTACGGCAGCGAACGAGTTCCCTCGTTTTCCGGCCGCTAGCTTTTGGGTATACAAGCGACGAGTACGGCATAGCGCACACACGGCAGCGGCGGCCGAGTACGGCACCGTACGAGTTCACGGCTTTTCAAGTCGCTAGCTTTTGGGTATACGCACTAACTCTTGCTACATATGCTGGATAACTACCACGCATACAGAATTAAAACAAAATCAGCTTACTTCCTATCTTTAGACGGCTAGCGCAACAGAGGTAGGTGCCGCTCAGCCTGCGTACTCGTTGAACGAGAACGATCCTGACGTCACGTTCACATAGCGGCTGATTTGCAGTGTTGCCGGGGCCTCGAGCGGCTAGTTTCGGTTTTGTTGGCCGCGCCCCATACAAAACTTTGAAGCGTCGATATCTTTAAAACTACGCACAATAACGAGAAAAAAAATTACACCTTGCAATTCAGGGACGCTGACTGCGCTAAAAACAGTCATAATCCCAAAATCGAAAGTATGGACGGGAGTTGCTCTTTAAAAACAGATGACAAGAAAAAAGTGAGCGAATACTTACGTCTAGTGTAAGCAAAGACAGTTTGAATAAAACCAACGGTTGTTAAAAGTAAGACATTTCAAAATAACAGAGCAATACGTCAAACAATGCAGACAAGAACACGATTTTCCCAATTGGTTAATCTGAATAGATATTCAAGCAAATTTATTTTAAGTGCAACATGTTCCGCTCCCTAAAAGCTCGCGGAAGAAAACGTAATTTAAAATATTACTTTTACAGGAAGAGTTCTTTGTGGTGGATAAAGGCTAGAATGTTGTCTGTGGCATTTTATTTATTATCTTGTATTTATCATATTCAAATATTTCTGCTTGTAATCTACCAGAGCCCTCGGTTCACTGTTGTTAAGTAACTATCGTCCCCAGGCGTTGCGTACCCTTTGCATTGTTTACTCTAAACAATTGATCACGATCACTTGCTTCTGCATTTGGTAAGATTGCTTGCAGTCAGTAAAACCGACCGCTTCTCACGCTGATGCATTCCTGTAGGAAGAGCGAAGTTACACTGCATCTTTCCGACGCCTCACTAACGCCACCTCGAGCATGGGGCTGAATTTACTCTTTTCTTGTATTTCAGATAGAAAATAATCGTACCATTAATAGTAGGGAAGGAGAATTAATGACAACAACATTTTATGTTATTTGCCTCGTTTCGTATATCAGGTTTATTTTATAATAAGGCATTTTGCAGAATATGAATGAATAACATGATATCGTCTGAACATTAGGATTTAGCGGCTGCCTTAACCGGCAAACGCCACCAAAAATAATGGGAAAACAGCTACTAAAAGGACAGCTAGACAACGTTTGTAGTTGCGATGCGTTCAAGTTTTCTATATTTTGCCATATCTGCTCAGAAAGAAACTTCTGGTTCATTTTTTTTCACACAAACCCCAAATAATTTGCTCACCTGTCTTATTAGTTTTAATTTTAAAAATTACGTTACTTCATGAAAATTAGGACGGGGAGTAAGGATTCTTGGAATGCCTTCGGAGGAAAACAATTTTGGTAAAAGTGAATAAAGCTACACAACGGTTCTTATGTAGAAATAAAAAGTTGTTAGTCATCTTCGTAAACTCGCTCTTCTCCTCTAGCTCTAGAACAAAAATCATATCTGCTTACTTGTTCAGGTGCTGTGTTTACACAACATTCATCGCAATAATATCCATTGCAATGTTTTTTGCAGTCGACACAGAGGCCATGGTGACGGCACAGAAGGTGATATATTCTTTTCGGAATGCAGTCGCAAAGTTTACATCTTGCTCGGTCCGGCACCTGGAATGGAAATCTAAGGACACGCACGCCTAGCCCGGTGAGTCCCTTCACTTCACGGTAAGAGATGTTGAACCTATAAAAAAAACGCCGAATGTTGTATTGAGGACTACATATTTCTCAATATACTAGGTAGCACACCGTGGCTGTTTTGGCCGTAAAAAAGCAGCGAAGGTGGACGGAACATGACGGCAAGAAGTGGCATTTGGTAGTCTTGCATTATGGTAATTAGTAAACACGTAGATTCAGCTGGCGTTAAAAACGTGAAATTCTATATACACCGAGTGTCTCAACATACGCGAAGGTTACAAAAAAAACCACCTTCCGCGAATGATACCAGCCGTATTTTGATACCGATCATCTTACGAAGGGGCGAGTACTTTTGTAGTGAGCCTAGTTTAATCATTATTAGGCTCAGTTATTTAACTCTCCGAATATTTCCAATGGCCGTCTCATAAATGAAAAGCCATAGATCGCCCTGAAAAGGCCGGATTGAAGGGATTGCAGCAGGACACAATTTCTGTGCTTTTCTACAGCCCAAAAAGTAAGCCACGTGCTCGCGAGTCGTAGTTAGAAGAGGCGCTTTTTCAATTTATTTTCTGTTTGTTTTAGGCAAATACAAAATCAGAGCTCAAAACGTACCATTTTTAACCAACTAAGTATGCTGTTTTGCAAGGCAATCTACAACTTTCCATTTAACATCAAAATTATTTAGGATGGTATTTACAATCCTGGGCGGCACACTAGATCAATGCAGAACTTAGACCAAGTTTGCCAATCCTGTGTGCCCAACTTGGGCCAAATACGTTTTGGCAGCAAAATGCTAGTGCCAAAGCGATTTTCGCTTTTTAGCAGCGATATTACAGCGATTTACGGCGACAGCCGTTAGTGGAACACCACAAGGTTTCGAGCCGTCGACCATGTTCCACATGGACGCCGCCCATTTTCGGCTCCCCGCCAAAAACATTCCACGGGCCGCTGATAACCAGATAGCAAGCAAGATAACGTGCGTGGTCAGGCAAGATAGTAAGAAAATTACCGAACACTTAAGACCGCTTACGTGTAGGAATGCGAAAGCATTATAGTCCCGTGCGGTCGCCTCACAGTCCATTGCACGAAGCACACAACGAGCACAGATGAAGTCCGAAGCGCACCTATCGCACACGGCG